ATAAATAGAATTATTTGAATTTTTCTTTTATTTTGGCATCGCGAAGTGAAGTATTAACAAAACAAAATTTATAAAATTAAGTCTTAATTCTAGAATGGGTGGATTTTCACCCAAGTACTAATTCAAATTTAGTATACATTTTGTTATTAAAAATTTTGATAGCTTAAAATAACATTTAATAAGATTGTTTAACAATCAAGTTTATTTTTTTACAGAACAATGTGCGTACCGTCTATTTTCTAATCCTAAGTATTTTTTTAAACTAAATGTATGATTTAGTTTTAATTTTATATAGTTAAAGAGAAAAAATTTAAAATATTTCCACATTGAACTAAATGATAAATTGACTACTTGATAAAGAAAAAGAATCTTGTATATATTTTGGGTTTTTCGCATATACAGTAATGAATCATACTAATTGATAGATAATTGAATAACAGGCTATTTTTTGAATATATATATCCGATATTTATTATTTAAAATAATATAGTTTAATTACTCTTGTGATTTAGTAAATATAAAAAATTAAAGTAAATATAAAAAGAGTATACAATTCTTAAATATGTAGATAAATTTTCAGAATAGTGTTACTGTAAAAAAAGTATGATCCCAGGATTAATTTCTTGTGAGTGACCTTTTTTAAAATTGATGACCGCTCAAGGATTATTTACATTTATGTCGCAATGCGCGCGCGAGAAGAGAGAGTTTATTCACCCCCATTGTGTTGTCGATTATTTAACGCGGGTTGACGACCATCGATCTCGAGGACAAATTCATCGATTCGCACTATCGATTCCTCTTTCCATCTTCTCTAAAAAATAAAAATGGCCACTCAATAAAAATGGCGCGCACACTGCGGCTAAGTGCACTTAGCTCCACCGGTGTTGATAAACAGGCGGCAATAAAACGGCTCGCAACGAGCTAATCGTATTCTCGACGTTCCGAAGTGTCGACAACATTCGATAGAAACGGATCAACGACGGCGTCGACCGTGGAAAAGGTCAGGGAAGGCGCGGCGACGGCGACCCTGGCCGAGGAGCGGCGTCCCCGGGCTCACGGTGGCGACGACGACGAGCGCGGCAACGTTGAGGTTATGGACAACTTCGTGAAAATCGAGAAGATAGGGGAAGGAACGTACGGGGTGGTCTACAAAGCTCGGGACAAACTGACCGGGAAGCTGGTGGCACTCAAGAAAATCCGTCTAGAGACGTACGTTCGGCCCCGTAAATTTACTGGGAAATATAAACAAATCGCTTCTGTCTGTCTTTCTTTCTCTCTTCCTCTCCTCTCTCTCTTTCTCTCTGTCTCTCTTTCTCTTTTACTCGTCCAGAATATTACTCTTTGTAAACACGGAACAAGGTGAACCTGGATTCCAAATCCTGGTGAGAACGTTTTCGAGAGAATTCTGCAGTCAGATTTTGTATCAGGATTTGATCTTTTGAAGACTGTTTCGAAATCTGTACATTACAGTTGATTTTGTTAAAAACTTGGCAGAATCTGGGTGAAAGTAAGTAATATAAATAGGAAATTGTTCGGTTGTTTTTTAAAAAAACTCTGTGCTATTCCTTTTTTATTATACATATATTATGATAACATGAACAATGCAAAAGTACTTTCTTCTTCTTTTTTCTCTTATATATTTATATAATCACACAATAAATATATTAATATTATACTAACTCTTTTAATTTAACCAATTGTGCTTTTTAATGGAAAAAAATATTTTTTAAAGAATTTTTTATTGTTTATACGTAGATTTATATAACTTATTATTATTAAGCTTTTATTAATCTAGCTTGGAATATAATTTCCATAGCTATATATTATTAATATCTACTCTTTTTCGACGCTTGATATAAACAAAAAATTATGTTTGCCAATTTCCTTTAGAAATTTGTATGCGTTTACTATATATGTTTTCGTGACAAACTAATAATATGACAAATGGGTCATATTATTAATTCTATTTTACTTGGCGGTGAAATTATAAGAATAATTTAATAGCGTGATATTAGTTTTTTTATATAATAGTGTACCCTTATAAATTTAATAGCATCTAATACGAATGTTTAATTAAGATACGCACTATCGATTTAATCACGACTTTACAAAATTAATTTGAAATTTTAATTCGGCTATTATCTATGTATGTTAAAAATGATCAATTTGCAGAACTGCAATATCAGCTGGGCTTTTGCTTGTGCACACTGCTAACACACTGCTAACAATCTGCATATTGGGGTCAGCTGAATCTGCGGGGGCCACGTTACACTAATTTTCGTAGCACCACATTATTCAGCTTGTCCCATTATGTCATGCTCGCCTGGTTTTTAATTTGGTATTTTTTTTAATACACTGTAATTATTAATTTAAGATATGTTCAGTTAGGATTATTTTTGGGATAAAAAACTTTGTGTATGTATATTGTATATACATACATATATCTTCTGTAATTATAACATTTTCATTAAAGGTAACATTTGTCTTTGGGTATACAGAAATTAATGGAATTGCTCTTTTATATATTATATTATATTATATTATTATATTTGTCTTCTCTCACCAACACGAAAAGAATGATTTTGCTAAATTATCTTAAAATTCAGGTATAGATACAGATCTAAAAAAATATAATTTTATTGGACTATCAAAGTAATTATGTAGGAAACTCAAGCATAAACAACGCTGCAAAAAAATGTTGACATTCTAGGAATCATTTTTATTGTTGTACATAATTATTAAGAAGATTAAGAGGATCTGTAACTAAATTTTTATATACTCCAGCAAAACCGTTCTTTTCATGAATGCAATTTGATGTTTTAATGTATATATTATGTTGTATATGTTCGTAAGATATATTTATAAATAAACTTTTTAAGCGGAAAGTTTCGTTAAAAAAAGGAGGGAAACTTTCTTATGAATAATGTTTCTTTAGCATATTCGTCAGGTACAGTCACTCAATTTTGCTGATTAATTAAATAATGCTGCTTTAAATCAGGGAAAGAGAAGGCGTTCCATCTACCGCTATTAGGGAGATATCGTTATTAAAAGACCTCGCTCATCCAAACATCATACAGTTGTTCGATGTCGTAGACGGCGATAATCATCTGTACCTCGTATTTGAATTTCTGCAGCAGGATTTGAAAAAGCTGTTAGACTCAGTTAAAGGGGGCTTAGAACCAGCTCTCGTCAAGGTAATGCGGATCTCAGCCGCATTTTATCGCGCTCGTGATGCCTGTATTCATGCGTGGGTCTTTTAAAAACGGGGCGGTTTGTGTTACAGAGCTACCTCTGCCAATTGCTGAAGGCAATTTCCTTCTGTCATCTCCGTTGTATATTGCACAGAGACTTAAAACCGCAGAACCTATTGATAGATCGAGAGGGTCATATTAAACTGGCCGACTTCGGATTGGCCAGAATGATCGGTGTGCCCGTTCGCACTTATACTCACGAGGTTGTCACGCTTTGGTATCGCGCACCAGAGGTTCTTCTAGGAACTAAATTGTACATCTGTGCGTTAGACATATGGAGTCTCGGTTGTATATTTGCGGAAATGGTATGTGAAGATTGCGCGAGAGTTACCTGAGTCTATTGAATATTGGAGTAAAACCGCGGTGTCTGCAAAATAATACGATCTTTATAGGCAACCAGGAGAGCTCTGTTTCCCGGAGACTCTGAAATAGATCAGTTATTTAGAATTTTTCGCATGCTCGGTACGCCAGACGAAACGATCTGGCCGGGGGTGTCACAGCTTCCGGACTACACATCTAGATTCCCAAGATGGGAGGCGTCTAACATAGACGAAATTTTACCGACTTTTGATGATGATGCCAAAGACTTAATTTCAGTAAGGAAAAACCAGCATCTACCTCATGAAAAAGTGCACATTTTTGTATATACTTATATTTTTTTTATATTTTTAGAAAATGCTGACGTACGATCCTAATCAGAGGATAACGGCAAAAAGAGGATTGACTCATCCTTATTTCGCTGGGGTTAAATTAGTTCCACCTCCACTGCCAAAAAAATACTAATGTAGATTTATATGACCAATTGAATTTACTGTATTTTTATAGGTTTTTACATGAAACTTAAATGCGACATAATTTTGGATGAAGATAACTTTATACTGCGAATGTGTGTTCGATACTATCGATCTAAAAGTACGACATAATTTAAATATATTTTTACTATAAATCTCACGTATATAGGTATTAATTTTTGATTTGTCGATATCATTTGTCTTTCATATCCTTTTCATCCATTTCCCATTCATTGCACAATGACATATGGATTTCAATTATATTCTTCATTAATTATATATTGCATATATCTTTTTATTTAGGTATAGTTTCCCAAATTGTGCGTGGTATTAAAAGATATAAATTATTAATTCATAATCAAGCTATTGAAAATGTCTTAAAAAATACGTAACTTATAATGTCCAAGTATATACTGAAAAATAATAGAATTTTGATCAGTTTCTTTTGTGATTTAAGAATAACAAAGCAAAACGATATAATATCATTTGTAACAAAAATAACATCGTTAAATTATTTATATTTGAATACGTTTCCCATATCCATTAATCTTCCACATACGGAAATTACAGAATTGGAAACGAGAATTAATTGGAAAAATAGGACTTGCGGATACAAGTCCCCGTTCCATTTCTCCTCGAATCATTATTTTATTTTCGAGTCAATTCGATTGAAATTAGTCTTAAAATAAAAAAGTTTATCTTTAGAGAGAGAGAGAGAGAGAGAAATATAGTTAATAAAAAGAAGATAACTGCTTTAGCAAGTGTAGCTTGTTGACTTTCCTATCGTTATTTTTTTTAAGTTATTAATTAAATTTACAATCTTATTTTTATGAAATGAACAGAATGCTTTAAATCTCGTGGTTCCTTTCATACACGAATGCTTAAAAATTAATTTAATAGTTTTTATTTATATGAGATTATGAATTAAGTTTTAATTAATCAAATTTGTTTATCGAGAAAAGCTCAGTTTGAAATCAGTCGCAAATGAGAGAACCTGCGAGGAGTCTGTGACATTCTGTACTAAAGTGCTAGAAAGCCCGTCACATTTTTGATTCGATGGCTCGATTTAGTATGCCATTCGGGCGGATTGCGACGATGGATGCTCGATCAATTTCGGTAAAGTGATTTTCTGATGAGTTTCGGCAACCGCTGGATTTGCTTCTTGCGATATCGACGAAGACGTGAGCTTCGGAAGACGCAGCTCCTTGGGGGACGGAGTTTTCCTCGGCGTGCGGGGGGATATTCTATTAGGTGTACCGGGGGACGTTTTTCTAGGTGTCTCGGGGGAAGACTTATCGCCGGCGGATCGAACGCGTAAGCTGCTAGGTGGACGCGGAGAAGTTGGTGACCTTCCTGGTGAATGACCCTTCGGCGTGCCTTTGCTGTTCGTCACGTCTGGCGAGGGTGTTTTGGATGCGCGTCCGTTTGCGAGGGTTGGACCCCCCGTTTCCTGCATGAGTTGCCCTCTGGGCGTCGTGGCTTCCGGAGATCTAGCCAGTCCGCTTCTAACGGCTTGGGGTGTCACGACGGACGAGGGTGACACAACGCCACGCGTTTTGGTCGGCGTCGAGGGCGGCGGTTGAGGCTGGGGTATCTCGTTCCCGATCTTTGAATTCGACTCATCCTGCACGGAAGTTCGAATCTGGGGAGAATCGCAACAGTTATTTATATATAAGTGTGCTCAACGATGGAATAATATGAGTCATAGATTTGGGTGCATCTAGTAACGTCGTCATCGATCACTTAGCGAGCTAATAACTCGATGCACCCCTTTGTTACATAATATATGTGCAAACTGACCTTGATTGGCAGGCGGTGAATAGTAGCGATGCTTTGCGGATCTTGAGTGAATTGTACGTGAGAGTGAAGTACACGCTGTGCGTATTATCCTTTTAAGTAAATGGCAATTTTCTAAATACTTCTAAGTAGATAAGGTATCGATAAGGAAGGACTGAGGAGCTATTCGTGTTTGCCGGTACCGTTCGTGCTAAACTGCAGCAGGAATCAGTTTCAGGGTCGATAATAAATCTTCGTATTGTAAATCTTGCACGAAGTAGTTCATTTTTAACTGACAGGCCGGCGAAGTCGAGTTTCTAGTGCTTGAAATGATATATTTAAGTCTCATCATTCTATTTCAAATGATATAAAAAGAAATTAATTTTAACAGAACCAATTTCGAAAAAATCTATTTACATTTATTCGTTTATTTTGTTTCTCTAATAGAAGAGAATTAAATATAACGCCTAATTCTGAAAGTAGAAATTTCAATAATTATTCGAAAGTAAATATTTTAATATTTACAAATAGTACAAATTTTCATCACTTTTAATTTTTTATTTTTTAAAGAATTGCTCTTATAACGTTAATAAATTAGAAATTTAAGTAGATTATATTAGACGGATTTTAATGGACCCTAAAAAGAATATAATCAAAGAATCTTGCTCCTGGATGTTACCTATCGCGTGATAACTTACACATATCTTTTGCTGCACGTTTTGTTTTTAGTGTTTGTACACGGAGAGAATTTTCTTTTAAAATTTACCTCGAAAATATGATAATTGTGATACAATCCAATATTTTAAAGATTTTTACCATGCACTTCAGTAAAATTGTGATTAAACTTATTTTATACTTTATTGTAGTTTTATTAATGAATGAGAGAGATTTATATTAAAATTTTTCGAAATACACTCACAATGTTGTCCCACGACTGTCATATTTTCAGGGTAAATTCTAAGAAAAAATTCTCTCCATGTATAATAAGACTAAATAGTTATGTTCTACATGTGTATTTTTATAAAGATAAATAAAGATAGATTCTTATGAAGATAAAAGGAGATGCAGCCGCTTCTTTTTCAGCAAGAAAATTGGGGGGAGGATGCGTTCGGGTGTTGAGAGACAAAGAACGAAATAAATTTAAAAACAAAAATATTATTATAATGTCTCTCCAGAGCGATTCTAATCCAAGACGCGCGAACGCGTTGTTACACTATTGCGATCGTGGTAACTTATGACAATTACGAAGATCTAAACGTTAATTATCATTCTCTGTCTCCGTGAAATATCGCAGCACGTTAATTGAAAATCAAATTATCTCTTAATAATTCATGTGGAAGCAATACAGTGTAAATAATGTGTTACATATCTCCCCCTCTTCCCTTCTTTTTTTTTCCTCTCCTTTTAGCGATGTGTAAATTGCACGAGGTACCTAAGGTAGTGTAGTGACGTAAGTGAGAGATTTTTATTTTTGGCGTGGCCGCACGCATTATCCATCATCGATCTCTCCTTTCCGTTGACAAACACTCACCCTTAACACTGATCATCTCCCGATGGCTCTTTTTTTTCGCACCAGCGATATTTTATATATATATATATATATTATATACTCGTGGGATGCAATGTGTTGATTACGTATCTACAGTAAGGTTTACACGAATATCTCGTATGTCCTGTCGTCTAAGCGCAATCTCTCTAATCAACCCAAATGTACCTGACGGGTGTCTCACGCGAACACGTCGCGATTCACCTGCGTGTTACACGGCTCTTCTGGCACTTTCTTCTCCTCCCTCGCGACCTCGTTACACCGAGCATATCTTGGATAACTCCGCTCATAAAGCTCTGATAAAGTGTTCCGTTTCACGCATGATGTATCCTCTCTAAAACTCTTAAAGTGAATCTCATTCTGAAGGGTGAAATCATTCTCAGAGATTAAAAATTGAGTCACTCTTTATCAAGATTTTTCATCAAGGGTGGCTGAATTTTCACTCTTTATGGAGTAAGATTTCACTCCAAAGGATTTGGGAGTCATTTTATCCTTGTGTGCTACTTGGGTACTTTAATATTCGGTGAGTAACAAGGATAAAATGATACATTATGCGCATTATGCGTGAAACGGAACGCACTCAATGAGATATAACAACGCGATTTTTTTTTTATCGTAGTGGCTGCAATACATACTTATGTCGTGGCGCGTACATACTTATGGCGCAAAAAGCTAAGTTATCCATGATGAACTGAAAGCCGACGCAACGCTTGTGGCTTCCTTTCGATTCATATACACGTCGATCAAGATTGCTATAGTCTTCCGTCTCCTCAGAAATCGTTAGATCGACCACGTGTCAAAGATTGCCCACGTGAACGATAACTACACATCGTCGTTCGCGATTTAACTAGTCGGGATGACGTATGTACCCCGTAATTCCGGTGAAATGCAACGTACGTACGATATCGAGGGATTGTCGGCTGTTAAGACTTCCTCATGCGGAAATTAATGTACGCGCGTTTGTCTAACGTCTATTCCCCCTAAGAGGACGCAATGGTTCTTCCTGCGCACATTACAACGACGGGTATGTGTGGTTTTGTACTTTCATTGGAATCTACTACAGATATACGAAAGCGAATATGACACTAGTGATAAATTAACCCTTACCGTACTAATATGGGTAACTAGTGACTGAGCGATTCCTGTTCGTGCAAGTTTCTTTGAGTCTTTCGGTAATTATAAATTATATTACATTTTATTATTTTCCAAAATAAAGAGTCAATATTTATTCCAGAAAGTTGAAAGTATGTTGGTGAATTTTTAGAAATTTTTTGAATTATATTTTGAAGAGGTGAAAAAAACGAAGCCATTCTAGTGACCCTTGATGGCATGGATGAGGCATCAAATTGTAAATGGTAAGGGTTAAGTAATAAGGATAGAATTTACCCGCGAAATTGAACATGATTGGCAATATTATAAATTAAATTGAAAAAATTACACATTCTTGTCACCTGCAAAATAAAAAATTTGAAGGTATTTAACTTTAAAGACATTTACAATTATATTTGCCCTATTCTTTGTCGATAGCTTTGTCATCTTCACGCGCATTGTTAACTTCTTAAGCGATTACGCCCTATTACGATATATTGAAAAATATATTAAATTCGTATGAGACAACTAAACTGCAATTCGTGATATATGTTGATTATGGCATAAATGCGTATCAAAAATCGAAAAAGTTCGCAAATATTAATATTCACGTAGCGAGGGCGCATGAGAAATGCGTCGACATAATGATTTAGAAATCGCAAAGACGTACCGTGACAGAAATCCTTGATAAAAAAAGCTATCACTTAAGTCTTAAAAAGACAAAGAACCTCCATGCGCATAGAGATCATTCCTCAAATCTGTTCTTCGTCTGTATTACAAAAAAGTGAAATATTTTTCTCAGTTCTTTTTTTATATGATTGCCTTATGATTTGCGCACTTACGTAAATATTTGGATAAAGAGTGTTTTCACACAACGCACAATGATGTATTCGCTTTATCTCTCTTTAAAGGTAACTAAAATCGCAGTAAACGCGAAATGAAAGTACCCGGGAACCTCGCGTTGTATTCGATAACAAATCAACGCGATAATTGCCTCGTTGATTTAATAATTAATTCGTCCGTCGCGCAAATTTTGTCGCTTGCGTAGACGAGATATCGATCGCGGTGCTGATTTTTTTTTCGAGAAGTTCCGTGCACCGTACATCTCAACGTTTTTCTCGATCGCGCAAGGACAGCGCTCGTTCGTCCTCCAAAGGGGGTAGATGGATAAACGTGATTAATCACATGCAAATGATATAATTAAAGCGGGTCTATCGGCCAACTTTTCGTGACCTAGCATTCCTGGTTCAGGTTCTCGTCCGAGGCTGGCAGGCCGTTCTTGCCGGTGATCGCGCCGGAGGGCACGGGGCTCTGCGGGCACAAGACACGATATCAGGATTAAGCCTGCAGCATCCTTGCGAACTGAATAAAATCGACTGATGCCCATTTCTCTACCAATGCAAATTAATATCTCGGTTCAACTAACTCTTCATCTTTTTCTAGTTCTAAAAATTAGAAGAAGATGAAAGGAACTTGAATCCAGATTAAAGTTAATCTACATTGGTAGAAATGGGCATGAGTAAAATAAATAAATATCCTTTAATGTCTTTTAATGCGCGTTAACTCTTTCAGACTGTGCGACTGGCTAGCATTTCACCAATATTGCCATTAGACGTTATTCTAATAATTTAGATAGTTTCAAAAGATTTTCCCATAAAACAAATTTTCCTATCTCGTTTCATGCGGCTTATCCTGATTAGTTGCGCATAATCCGTAATAGTATTGCACTTATCGATTTAGAATCTGCTTCTTCAACATTTAATTTATTAATTATTTTTTCAGTTTTCCCTTTTTTCGAATGAGATTTAGAAAGAAACAAAAACAATTGCATTACGTAAGATTAAGTTTAACCTTTAGAGGGCGGGAGTCTATTTTTTAAATCTTACAGCTTTTCCTTTTTTAAGTAAGAGTTAAAATCTGTTATAATTTATTATTTCATTGTATTTCTGCTTCAAAATACAACACTCTTTTAGTACCACCATTGTGGTTTTCCCGTCCTGTAAAGGTTAATTTAGAGCGCAGAATTAATGACCCTTAATATTGTGACATGGAGACCGCAATTGCGTAATCACGATAGATGCATTTTTGCGAAGGTAACAACCAGCAGAAATAGAAAAATTCAATAAAGAACAAAGTTTTGCGGTCAGAAATATTATGAAATATTTAACAAATAAATAATTTCTTTATCTCGGAGACCAGTCTTATCGAAGACTGTTTTAAATAATTTCTAAGATGATATCCAATACGATATTTCAAACATTTTTCTATCGCGTTATATGTACATTTTTCGCAATTATTTATCTATCAATGCGAGCTAGTATTTAAATGTGCTGTGTATGCCATTGTGACTACGCATGCAACGCGTGTTTAAGCACATAGGTGCAGATTAAATGCGAAAAATCTCGAGAAGAAATGTTGTCTGACTGGAACTTTTCGTCATTGCGACGTGTTTCTTTGCAAAAAATCAGAAAAATCCTTTACCGCGTAAAAGTTTTCAAGAGAGAAGTAATGAAGTAACAAAGTTCCGTGATGAAATTATATTCTCAAGACTTTCTTTACTTTGCAGAAGAAATATACCTGAGACCCGCTGCCATTCAAACTCTCAACGTTGGAACTCGTCTGCCGAAGATAATCTCTGTCGTTGAAAATTTTTTTGTCGCCACCACCCGGCTTGTGCTTTACATTGTCCAACGAACCGATCTTGCTTTCAGCCTTGATGTCTAATTTTTGCGTCGGGATCTAAGAAAA